CAATATTATCGATTTGACATCATATTCAAATTCAGCATCCTCAAAAACTTAGAGGCATAAATTAAAGGAATTAAAATATTATTTTTAAAAAGGTGACATGCGTTCACTATGGTGAAGTCACGGACTTTCGGAGCTCCATAGGAGCTAAACCATGGACTTTGGAGCTTAGTGCCCATTGAGACTTTTGTTCAGGATAACAAAATGTATAAAATATCAAAAATTCAGACAATTTGACCGAGAGTGCATTTCCTATCTTTTTGTGCGGGGTCCTTTGTTATTGTATAAAACGAGTTTATACATTTTGACCCTTGGTGGTTTTTGCTTAAATTTAGATTATCAAAAACAGGACTCTTATAGATTTATCATGTTTACCTCAAAAATTAAAACTAAATAACATCTAAAAATGTATTTAGAAAATTACCTACTTGCTACATATCGTTGTAAATAATATTGCAATTTAAGTACATTTTTGTATATGCATAACTACTTTTGTCCACGACCACTTAATAATAAATCAATATTCTACCTCCTAACTAAGAGCATATAGTACCCATATATCACGGAGTGAATTATGATAATTCACGCTTTTGTAATTCTGGCACATTCCGATAGATAACTAAAGATAAGCGATACTTTTCATAACGATATTTTCTAGATCGATAAATCGAAAAATCGAAAAATCAAAAAATCGAAAAATCGAAAAATCGAAAAATCGAAAAATCGAAAAATCGAAAAATCGAAAAATCGAAAAATCGAAAAATCGAAAAATCGAAAAATCGAAAAATCGAAAAATCGAAAAATCGAAAAATGTTTAGAGTAGGGCTCTTGAAAATACTAAAAAATTAATCACTTTATTAAATAATGTTTAATTTTTGGATCTGCCAATCAAGAATATGGAGATAAGGCCTTTTTCCATGTACAACTTAAGAGAGAATGAGATACTTGCACAGTAAAAGGACAAATTACACCTGAACATAAAGTACTGCAAAAACCTTATGATGTGGTTGTTGTAATTAACAAAAATTTTGAGTGCACAATGCTTAAGATATGCTTCATCTCAAGGTTAGTAATATTCATTACGCTTTTTTGTTTTTATATCACATATAATAAACAGTGTATAAGACCCTTTATTCCTATATTTTTTTCTAATTTTGACATATAAAGTGACATTTTTTGTAATCGCAGCAAGTGTTAAAATGATCTAAAAATAGATTTTGTTAGTGAACCTAGTAATAATTATGATGCCAAAGAATGCTGCAGAGCACCTATAAAATTTTGATTCAAAAATTTTATGCCACTCGTTTTCTGCAAAAATCAAAATGCTCTGATAACTTCGAACGAAGTCAGCAGAGCACCACTGTTTAAAAAATTTTGATAGTGTGGATAGCAAGTTGGTGGTTCGAGTCCTGAAATTTTCATTTTTTTTTTCCTTAGGTAAATGACGTATACGAACATGTCATTCTTTATTTAAATCGCCGGTGCGATAATGTCAAAAGTTGAGTAAAACGAGAAAACAACCCTCCAAATAAAAGAGAAATACCAAACTCTAAAATTATTATAAAATTAAAAACATTCCCACTACTTCAATAATTTTAATAAAAAAAAGACGCTTGGGACTCTTGAGGCAGCATTTTTTTAATATGAGGTAGGTAAAAATAAATCCCATGTTTATAATATACAGGGTGTCCTTTAAAATGTGTCCCAAAATTCTCAGGCAGATTCCTTAACCAAAAAATGGAAAAAAAGTTCCTATAGACCTATGTCCTAAAGTGCCCCCTAAGCGAGCAACAGCCTCTCGAAATCATTTTTTTTATTTTGATTTTTTGAATTTTCTTAAAAATGGAAACAAATAAAAGAACCAAATTTTGGCTGTTAAATATGATCAATAGTGACCTTTTGACACCTTCAAAAAGAAATTATTTCGTCAGGGGTGTACTTGGGAATTTTTTGAAAATTTTGATTATTCATAACTTTTTTGTGTTTTTGGTAATGACTTATCCATATTTTTTTTTACATTCTACATTGAAAACTACGTCAAAAAGGAATACTTGTTTGATCTCGATTGGAGCAGCCGTTTCCGAGAAAACATCATCCAAAGATATTCGTCCACTTTAGCTTAATTTTCAATTTTCCTAAATTACCTCGGTGAATCTCGTAAATAAAAATAACTTTTTTAGCTCTCTCTAAATAATTGTAGTTCAAATGTCGTGGTGGGACTATTTTTATTTAATAATAAGAAACGGTTTAAAAAAATATTTATTCTAAAAAAACAAATCAAAAAAAATTAAAGCAGATGCTCAATGTGGCGACCATTGGTTTCCACACACAAGCGCAACCGTCGCATCATAGACTGTCTTACACGAAAAAATACTTCAGGATTATTCCTAAGAACTTCGCAATGATGAAAAACTCGGTCTTCCAATTCTTCAACTGTTTCAACAGGACTGGAATAAACCAATGATTTTAAATAACCCCAAACAAAAAAATCCATTGGATTTAGATCTGGTGAACGAGGTGGCCAGTTAACAGGACAACCTCTGCCAATTACTCTACCCTCAAATCTTTCGTTAAGGTGCTGTCTAGCTTCAAGGCTGTAATGTGGTGGAGCTCCATCATGCATAAACCACATGTTATGTCTGATTTGAATCGGAATATTATCAAGAAGCTCACGTAAGTTATTTTCCAAAAAAAGCCTGTATGCTGCTCCATTTAACCTATTCGGCAAAACAAATGGTCCAATAAGGTAATTATCAATAACTCCAGCCCAGACGTTTATTGAAAATTTATCCTGGTGGTGACGTTCAACAACCGCGTGAGGGTTATCTTCAGCCCATTCATGCATATTTCGAAAATTTATTATACCATCTCTAGTGAAACCAGCTTCATCGGTAAATAGCACTTTATTAAGAAACATTGCATCTTGATTACATCTTCCAAGAAACCATTCAGAAAAGATAACTCGCGGCTCATAATCAGTAGCTTTAAGTGCCTGAACTTTTTGAATGTGGTAAGGGTACAATTGTTGTTCACGCAAAACTTTCCATACCGTGTTACGTCCGACTCCCACTTCTGAAATTAAATGAGAGAATCTGTGTAGTGAATAGTTAAGAAAGAGAATCCATTGATTTGGGAAATCAGATTTTTTCTGCATAACGCAACTCTTTTCGATACGAAAAGTCGTGAAATGTAAGAGAAGCAATAACAAGTAAAAAAACTAGTTTTATACGATAAGGTACGGGGTAGCTAAAATAATAAATAAGTAATTACTTACCATTTGCTATTTTTCTGGTACTTGTCGATGGGGTTTCAGCTACCCTATCCAAAATTGCTTCTTCCAAAGTAGGAGTTCTCACATAATTTTGTCTTCCACTGTTACTAGAGTTTTTCTTAAATGTACCAGTTTCCCGAAGTCTATCGTCAATTCTAGAAAACGTCTTAGCGCATGGAAGATGCCTATTTGGAAAGCGCTCCTGATAAAGTATGCGAGCTTCATTGGCATTTCCAGAAGCGAGTCCAAAACATAAGTGCATGTCCGTCATTTCGCCGAATGTGTAATCATTATTGTAGTTATTGTGAGCCATTTTAAACAAAATAATAACAATACAACGAATCGCACCAGAACACTTTTAGAAATAATGTTTAACTGAAGAAACATTTTTATCAGTGAGCGAAAAAAATTATCCATGAAACACAAAAACGCCAAAAAAATACATATTTTTACTTTTTTATTCTAAACAGCTAAATACAAACCTTATGGTCTTCATAATAAATAAATGGGAACTAAATTTTTAAATTTTATTTAGAGAGCTAAAAATAGTATACAGGGTGATTGATTAGTGTGAGGAAGCTCTGTAGATCTGTTATAATAAAAGTAGGCAGCTTTAAGCTTCACATTTTAAAATTAGTTACGATGTGACAGGGTGTTTCATAAGGCCGTGCCAAATCAAAGTTATGTTTTTTAAATGGAACACCCTGTATATTTTTATATTTTTAGAATCTGCTCGATAATCTGATTTCAATGATATATCACACTTGTTATCTAATATGAATAGTAAAGGATCTACAGCTACTCAAAAATCACATTTTTTCAAATTCAGGTGGCTGTTGTAGCCAAACAGTTGGAAATCGAGGAAAACGGCTTACAGTCCCTATCCTAACTTTTTAAGGTCTATTCAGTGACATAAAATACATATTATTTGATACAGGGTGATCAAAAATCCAAAATCACATCCGATTTTTGATCACCCTGTATCAACTAATATTTTTTGCCACTGAATAGACCTTCAAAAGTAAGGATAGGGACATGTAAGCCGTGTTCCTCGATTTCCAACTTTTTGGCTACAACAGCCAAAATTGAAAATTAAGCTAAAGTGGACGAATATCTTTGGATGATGTTTTCTCGGAAACGGCTGCTCCAATCGAGATCAAACAGGTATTCCTTTTTGACGTAGTTTTCAATGTAGAATGTAAAAAAAATATGGATAAGTCATTACCAAAAACACAAAAAAGTTATGAATAATCAAAATTTTCAAAAAATTCCCAAGTACACCCCTGACGAAATAATTTCTTTTTGAAGGTGTCAAAAGGTCACTATTATTGATCATATTTAACAGCCAAAATTTGGTTCTTTTATTTGTTTCCATTTTTAAGAAAATTCTAAAAATCAAAATAAAAAAAATGATTTCGAGAGGCTGTTGCTCGCTTAGGGGGCACTTTAGGACATAGGTCTATAGGAACTTTTTTTCCTTTTTTTGGTTAAGGAATCTGCCTGAGAATTTTGGGACACATTTTAAAGGACACCCTGTATATACAGAAAGTTTTATTTAATTTTTGCACTATTACTACATCTGCTATTATTGTAGTTACGATGTTAGTTAAATTAGCCAACAGTGAACAATTCTTGTTTGCCTCTGCAAATAAACTTTTGCGTTATTTGCAAAAATTATGAAGATAAAATTCATGCAAGAAAACTTGTTTCTAGTCTAATATATAGGACTTACCTAGCAAATTCACTAATAAAACTGATTTCTCTTCCATTATTTTTCCAGCACCCATTATTTTGTCCGTTCAATAGATTATCCAGCATCCATTCGGGACTCTGGTTCAAAACTTGCTTGAGAGTATGAACCAGTAATTTCACAGCACCTTTGACCAAATGTCTATCCACTTTAACCGGAAGTGGTCTTACACTAAGAAGTCCGGGTGGTAACTGATCCCCCACATCGCCCGAAAACAATAGATCGTACGAGGATCGGTACCGATATTTAGAACTTTTTACGCCATAGTTTTGATTATTAAACAAAAGTAACTGGTCGTTTTTTAACAGATAATTTAAATGAATATCACTTATATCGGGTTTTTCTACATGGCTACGTTTTAAGCGTTTATCGAAATTTTCCTCCAAGATTTTTCGCCTCCAATCGTCTTGGTCCTCTGTATTAGATATCTTTTCTTCTCCTGCACTTCTTTTCTTTAACCTCTCTTCGTCTTTTTTATCTTTTTCCTTCTCTTTTTCTTCTTCCGACGAAGTTGTTAGGTTTTTCATAGTCACTACTTCTACTGTGTCGATCCAAACCCAAACGAAATGGCCGTCCATCATATTTAAACGTTTGGCGTCTTCTAGGATTTTGATGCAGTTTATTCGGTCACTTAGAAGAATCACTACTCCTCTGGTTGATCTAGAGATGTCCGCTAATTTTCTGAAATAAAAAAAAAATGTTAACATACAACATTATTTTGTTCAACTGTCAGATTTCAGTCAAGAAGAAATGGAAATGGCGACCTAAAATAATATAAGACTAAAAATTCTACTACGAATTATTAAGACCATCCCCGAAACCCAAAGGTGAAATTTTGTTGGTTAAAAATATAATGTTTTCAATCCTAGTAAACATTTTCCAATATCATCTACTTATCCCGATCTCCCCTATTTTCATTTCAATATTACATAAAAGCTTAGTAAATATTTTTGCAATATCTTACCATCAGCGTTAAAGATAGACCCTTCTTCAATATTACACATGATAAATATTTATTTATGAAAGTGTGTTTGTGAAACAAGAAGCGCTTCAGACAGGATGTTGACATCATTTTTTTTTAGATAAAAATGAAACCAGGAAAATTTAATATGGTGTATGTAAAAGTAAATCAAAAACTGTTGTAAATTGAGTTTTTATTTTTGAAAGGAATATTCGCATCACAGCGTACATTTCTTTCACATGTATTCCATAAATTGAAAAATATTAAATAAAAGCATTTTATCTTTTAAAGTTTTATTATTAAACATCTTCGTCATTTTAGTTAAATTACTAAAAGAATTTTTAATTGTTTTAATATTTAAGCATCATTCTTTTAGCTTTTGTTATGAAGTTATACTATTATTCGCTCAGTGCGAAGTCATAGTAGGGAAAGCAAAAGTGATACTAGCACAAGCTGTGGATAATTCGAGAATTTTAGGGCGATATTTTGTAATTTTTGCGTATCAAATAAAAATAAACATTTTATTTTTTTTAATAGGTAAAAACAATACAATGAGCAACCGAAGTTGCTGTGTTGTAAATTGTAAATAATTACAAAAAAAACAGTGTACATTATATAAATTTTTAATAACAAAATAGAAATTAAATCAAAGAAATGGATAACTGTACAATAAGAAGAAAAAGTTCCTCTATTTTTGTAATTTTATAATTCTAGAAATGGAATCAGAAAATTAAAAGGTTTTAAATTAACAATAAATTATCATTTTACAATGTTCTTAAAAATTCTTCAAATTCTAAACATCTGATTATTTTTAAAACCGATAGTTAATTTTAAGCAAATTTTTACAAGATAGACAGACCCCTGTGAATTATAAATTATTTGCAAAAATGTTGGATATTTACTGTTTGTTTTTCGGATGCATTACTTTTTTAATTTAAAACAAATATGTACAGAGTCAAAAACTTAAATACATCATTTTCTCTTTTATATTAATTTTATATTACGATTTATATTTTTTTGAGTTATTTATAGGGAAACCTAAAGTAAATAATTTTGGGAAATTTTTAAATTTTAATGACAAAAAATTCTGTAGAAGTAAACAGAGTCAACAAATTTCTACTGATTTCTCATTTCTCATCGTATTAGCCATTAGTTACTTACGAGGTTAACAACTGGTTAACGTCATATGTCAAAATAACTCCAAACTAGAAAAGCTAGAATCTTGACAACGCTTAAGAAAGTAAAACGGTAATTATTGCGGCCTCTTGATTTGGAATGGCGTAAACTTCCACCAACTTCGTGAAATAATCCATAACCACCATCATGTATTTATTACCATTTTCGGTCAAGGGAAATGGTCCAGCAATATCTAAGACGATCCTTTCAAATGGGCTACCAACGTTGTATAGCTTCATGGGAGCCTTCCTTTTATGTTGAGGTCCATTACTCATGGCACAGCTAGTACATTTCTTACACCATTCCTTTACATCATCGGAACTGTTCATCCAATAAAACCTTTCCCGAACTCTCTGAAGGGTTTTCCTAATGTCCTCCTGATGGACTGTCGTGTAACTGACGAAGTACTTCGGCTACTCTACTCCTTGAAATGACCAACTGTCTTCTGTACTCGAAACCATTATCATTTTCAAGTACTCGCTTTAATAAGCTATCTTTTAGGAAAAAGGAGTCCACACCAAATACGACTTAATTACTGAAAAGAGATTAGATACTTCTTTCCAAGTAGGTCGACGATTTTCCTCTTTCCATTGTCGCATCTTCTTTAAAACGGTATCGTTCTCTTGTTCTTCTCTAATTTTAACAGGGGCCCACTCATCGTTGACTAGAGTTCTTCTTAGTAGTCCACTTTCTTTGGATTCCGCTTTGTTGCAGTGGGAGCACTCTGCTGGACACGGTCTTCTAGAAAGAGAATCGGCATTTTTGTGGCTTATTCCAGCTCTATGTTCGATCTTAAAATCGTATTTTTGAAGTCGTACAATCCATCTGACGATTTAATCCTCCGGATTTTTGAACGGCATCCACCAGTTAAGGGTGGCATGATCGGTACAGATTAAGAATTTCCTTCCATATAGGTATTGGTAAAAGTGTTCCACACATTTCACAATTGCCAGGAGTTCTCTTCTCGTGACGGAATAATTTCGCTCAGGTTTCGAGAGCACTTTACTAAAATAACCCAGTACTCTTTCTTTTCTCCCTTGAATCTGTGAAAGCACTCTTCCAATTCCCTCATTAATGGCATCAGTATGCAGGATAAATTCTCCTTCTGGTAGTGGGTAGCCTAATATTGGCGCTGTTGTTAAATGCTTCTTTAAAGTTTCAAGGCAGTTTGGCAGTCTTTGTCCCAGCAGAATTCTCTTGCTTCTTCTGTGAGTCGCGTTAGTAATTTAGCAATATCCGAAACTTCTTTATGAATCTTCGGTAGAGGCTATCAGTATGAGAGGGTCTTTGGAACGGTTTCGGATCGAAGCTGCCCACTCTAGGCCGACCCGCTCTAGTTTTTCTGCGGCGTGTTGTCTTCAGTTGTTAGGACCTTATTGCGTTTGCACGAACTGTGTACATGTCCCATTTCACCACAATTCCAGCACCTGATGTTCTTTGTCTTCATCTTTTTATCAGTAAAGGTCTTCATTATGTTAACTAGTTGGTCGAGTTTATCTTCTACGTTTGCTTCTTTTACAGTTCTTACTTTACTGTATCCTCTACAAGCCTGCGTAGCTTCCTCATACTCTAACGCAGCGGACAAGACATCGACCAATATTTTGTGGCGGGCTAAGCGAAGTGTTTTCTGCATCTCGTGGTCATGGAGTCCATCTACAAATGTTTGGACTGCTAAACATTCCATCATGTTTTCAGAAGCTGATGGGTAAGCAAATTGCACTAACCTCGCAATATCTACTTCATATTCTTGAAGAGTCTCGTCTCGTTTCTGTTTGTGATTCTTTCACTGTGACTGGTATAAATGATCTAAGTGTTCGTGGCCATATCGCATGTTGAGTCTCCTTTTTAGTTGTTCAAAATCATGCGTTTTTTCCACAGGTATTATTTGAAGGACATCTAAAGCGTCTCCTCGAAGGGCGATTGTCAGATTTACGCCCTTTTCTCTCTTAGACCATTCGTTTGCTCTCGCAGCTGTCGCGAACTGTTTAAGGTAGTTGGTCCATGACATATTTCCTTCGAAGGTTGGGGCTTTAACACGAGCAGAATTTACAGCTCCTTCCAATTTTAACTTCTACTCCACCTCATAGCACTTTATTTCACCTTCCTTGGTCGGGTCTGAATGTTCCAGTTCTTCTATCTTCTTTTCCATCTCTTTTATTTTCTCTTCAACAGAAGACATTATTTTCTCCTCAACAGAAGTCATCTTATTTTCCACATCAGCAGAAATTTCATTTTTCAGAGAAGACATTTTGTTTTCGAAGTCGGAAGAAATTTCATCTTTTATAGAAGAGATATCAGACGAAATTTTAGTTTCTAAAGTAGAAATTTCGTTTTTCACGGACGTCATATCTAAAGAGGAAATGTCATTTTTAATAGAGGAAGTATTAGAAGAAATATCGGTTTTCATGGAAGACATATCAGAAAGAATTGAAGAAATTATAGCAGACGCATCATCCGAAAATAGAAAAGTTTCCGGATCTAAACCTTCATTTTCTAGTGCTTTTTAAAGTCGTTCTACCAGCTCTGATTTCTTCTCTGTCGTCTCCTGTTCACGATCACTTTTAAATCACACAGTTTTTTAGCCATGATTGTCCACTATTTATTTATAGTACCACTTCTAACATCAATGTGACGATAGTCTAATTTATTTATAGTTTATTTATTTAAAACACACTATTTACAATTTAGTTATGACGTACTATTTGATTTATATAATATATACTTAGACACTAAATAACATTTCTAATTTATTTATAACAATTTATGTGTTCAGTCCAATATTCTATACTAAACTAAATTGCCCGACGATGAGTCGACTATTTATACCAAGTCCAACTCTGCTACGAGAAGTCTCTAGGCGCTCCCGAAACCTCCATCTCTGACTCAACGGCACACTCCGCCCTTTTTACCCGTTTCTCGAGCCTCAGCGACATTCCTAGAATATTCCGTCGTTTTGAACATGAGTCGGTTGCCACAGACGTGAAGGCCGCTTGCTTAGGCAGAGTCGGGTTTAGGAATTTCATGACAGTATCTCATGTATTTTTTATTGTATTTTAAATGTATGTTGATTTTATACTTATGTATTTTTTATATTTTAAATGTGAAGATGTATTGACATGTAAAAAATAGTTTTTTTAACTAAATAAACGATTTTATGTATTCAAGAAATACCACATTAATTTTGTTTTTATTATTTGCCTTATTATTTTAACGTAATAGGAATAGTAGAACATCCTGTACCTTCTCATGTTTCCCTTTTTCGACACTACAAGATATATTTTCTTATAAATTCCGAAGAAGGGGAGACATGAAAAACGGTTCCACCTACTGCGACCTGCGAACATAAACTTGATACCTACTTTATTTCTAGAAATGAATAATGGATTCGATTTCTCCGAGAGGATCGTCATATTACCATGAAATACCGAAACATAAAAAACATGTACTTATATCCGAACATGTATTTTTATTGTCTCCGCTACATAACTATAGATATAAAAATTGTATAATATTACTTCTTAAAAGAGAAGGAAAATATGTTTAA